TTTTCCTGATGATCTCTCTTTGAAGATGTATTTTCTGCTGCTCTAGCTGTTCCAGGATGGCCTGCTTGTCCTTTCTAGTGGGAATGTCCCACCTCAGAAACTTCTAAATAGAGCTCAGGATTCCACCTAAGGTCCAATACACTGCAAATGCTCCACAAGAGGCCTATTTCACTGGGCAAGTTCTAGAATCCCTTTTAGGTATTCTAGTCAGTTATAAGCTGAAGACAGGCTTACAAGCTTTCTGTAATTATGTTTCCTGACATTCCTTCTATCCAACTCAATTTCAATATTACAGTTGTTGTTGTTGTTGTTGTTAAGTGCCATCAAGTTGATTCCAACCCATAACGACCCTCTATAGGGTTTCTGAGGAGCAGCTGGTGATCTTGAACCACTGACCTTAAAGTTCAAATGGTTTTGCAGTCTGGCTCATTAACACACAGTACCTCACCAGGACTCCATTACAATAAAACAGTAGGGAAGGGAAATCAATATACATAAGACAGTCAAGCATTTTAGTACTATTTCCCCTCTTCAAATTATGCCTTGATCCCTGTATCAAAGAGCCCTGTTGTTCCAAGATTTAGCATTCATTTACCTCTGTCCCATTTAGTTAATGCAAATCTGTCTCAGAAAACACCAATTGTCTTGCTTCTGCTATGGGACTTACTAACAGAAAGCCTTGGATATTTATAAATATTTCTTTATTTGTAGTTCAGAGTTCTGTAATTGTCTTCTGTACCTGCTTTGTCTAGTGTTTTTGGCAGAGGTCTGCACTGCACCTCTCCAATATCACCATCAAGTCCCAGCTCACCCCAATGTGATAGCTTATTCTTGATGTATTTCTGTAACCATTATTAATTTTATTCATGAAAATAATTCTTACATTGATATGTATTATATTAAAAAGTGAAGAAGACTTAAAATAGTTTCTGATGAAGATTGAAGACCACCGCCTTTAATATGGATTGCATCTCATTTTAAAGAAAACAAAAATCCTCACCACTGGACCAATAAACAACATTCTTATCAATGGGGAAAAGATTGAAGTTGTCAAGGACTTCATTTGTCTTGGATCAACCATCAACACTCAGGGAAGCAGAAGTCAACAAATCAAATGACATCCAACGTAAACTATCACATAATTCACAATAAAACATTTTTAAAAAAACAGCAACCCTATTACGTAATTCTAGTTTAGTGCACATGGGGTCACTGTGTGTTAGAAACAACTCCATGGCAGTTGGTTTGGTTTTAACATCTACCACCACCAGTTGGTGTGGATAATGGATTTCAATATGTATCAGAATAGAACTGTGCTCCATAGGGTTTTCAATGTGTAAATTTTCAGAAATAGATCACCAGACCCTTTTTCCTCTGCGTGGGCTGTAATAACCAACCTTTCAAACTGTTGAGTGTGCTAACCCATGTTGGTGTGTGTGATGGCATTGATCATTGATTCTGACTCATAGTGACCCTATGTGGGAGCTGCTGTTTCCTGGGCTATAATCTTTATGAGAGCAGATCACTATGTCTTTTCTCCTGTGGAGCGACTGGTGGATTTGAACTGTTGATCTTTCAGTTATCAGTTGAGTAATTAATCACTGTACCACCAACACTCCTTCCCTAACATCCAAGCCCCAAAGCAAATAGACTTATATGTGACTTATAGCAACTCCGAAATCTGGCCAGCCAAATCCAAGTCAAACCACAGTGGCAGATTCCTGACCAGTCTGCATCTATTTAATAAAACTTATATTTGTCTCAGGCATCTATCACTCTCAAGGTTTCTAATATTAAATATACATTAGACAAATGATATTGTTAATGGCACTTATGGTGGGACATAAATAAATTTATGTAAATAAATAAATAAATAAAACACACACACACAAGAAATCAAACGACATATTGCATTAGGCAAATCTGCTGCACA